CGCTTTCATCTCCCAGAGGGCTGCTATGCTGTGAAGGCAAGTCCCTCCTAAACTTCCCGTTGGAACCGAGGACCCGATGTGATAGTGCTAAGAGGCAGGGCTTTAGAAGATGGTCACATCCCAAGGTGTCACCGTCCTGAGTGGGATTTCAGCAACCTTATTTAGGGTGGGGGTGCTGGAGGGATTAGCTAGCCTCTCCTGCCTTCGGCCCCGTGAGGATGCAGTGGTCCTCCTGGGAGGAAATGGGGAAAAGACGCCACCTTGAATGCAGAGAGCAGCCCTTACCAGACACCAAACCTGCCGGTGCCTTGACCTGGGACTCTAGCCTCTAGAATCAGGAGAAATCACTCTCCGTTCTTTATAAATTACCCAGTTTCAGAAGTCCTGTCCAGCAGCACTAGTGGGCTGAGACAGGGGTGGAGACCCTGGGTGGCTGGCTCTGCAGACCAGGCAGCCCCTGCAGCTGCACAATTCCTACCATACAGAAGGCGCTGCCAACAGAAGAAATCCCAGCCGAGCTTTGTGGTCACGGACCCCGCCCTCCCTCTGTGTCCTGGTCACCATCCCTTCCCTCAGATGCCACACTGGGGTCCTGGTCTAGATGCATTTGGGCCTCTGAGCAGGTCAGGGTGAGTGCCTCACAATGCCTTTCTCCACCCCCTCTCGCTGGTGAAATTTCACTCTTTATAGGGGGAGGTACGAGGACCCCAACAGCAGTGACGCCGCCTGCCTCCAAGGCAAGCAGAAGGAGCGTCCCTCCTCTCTCCTCTGTCTCCAAGAAGAGCACTGATGAGAGGGAGCGCCTCTCCCTGAAGACCCTCTTTTCCTGGTGCGCAGGATTGCGCCTCATAACCGTCATGTCTTGGGTGTTTACAGGCTACCCGGAATAGGACAGGCACTCGGAACTTCTCACTGCGTAGAGTCCATTCGACTGAGTGCAGTCGAATAAGCAGCACTAGGGCTGTTCCAGTGACAGTGCTGACAGCTCTTACAGCCGGGCTTCATCCCCAGTCTCAGAGTGCACTGAATCCAGTTTAAATCATCCTGAATAGACATATACAACAACATTACTCAGAAGTACAATAATGAGAACTAAAGAAGAGGCTCCTGGATTAATTCACACCATTTACAACAAGGCTGGTGACACCATGCCCCCACCCTTATGGGTCTACATGCCAACTTGCTTCTGGCGTGGGACATCGTGCCACCCTCACACAGGCATACATGATGGCATGACTCTAGTGTGGAACACCACGCCGCCCTCCCACGGATCTACATGACAGCGTGGCTCTGGCCTGGGACACGTAACGCCCTCCGTACAGGTCCACGTGATAGCACAGTTCTGGCCTTCCAATGATGATGCCATCAAGAGGCATTATGGATTTGATCTCAGCACAAGTACAGTGAGAATGAAAACGCCTTCTGCAATATACTGCCCAGGTTGGCAAAGCCAAATGATCACTTTTTTATGTACGAAAAGGTCATGAACACCTGCTGTTAGACGTGGAGCTGGACGCACTGACAGCTTCTGCACGCAATGTGACCTAACGTCGCTGACAAAACACGGAGGCCTGAGCATGCTTGGCCACAGAAATCAGACAAGAATAACACTTCCACTAAAATGCCCAGAAGTTTAAGAAGAAGATACGAATAGGCAAATAAGTAGTTAACAGGTCATCGTGTGATAAATGTGGTATCATTCAGCTGTTCGTAGGTATGATTTCAAACAGGCACTGAAGCTAATGTGGCACATGGGGATGACTGCATCAAAACCGGAGACAAGGAAGGACTTTCTTCCCATTAGACACGGACAACGAGGAGGCCTGGGGCAGGCAGCAGCAAGGCCAGGGCTGAACACTCTTTCCTGCGCGCTATTTCACCCAAGCTGATGTCCTAGAATTACACGAATAACTCAGTAGCTATGGGAGCCCCACTGTGGGCTGAACTGCATACGGTCTTAATTCTTTTCTGAATGCTCCTTTTCTGTTAAAAGAATACTGTGTAGATGTGCTGCCCTGGGGTCCTCCAGATACATTACACACGGATGCATTCAGACTGTCACAGAAGTCTTCGGGATTCACTAAGCGGCCTACTGAGATCCCCTGTGAGATCATGTACTCCATAGTTCTCCTGTTAGACAGACATGGGAGAAGAGAAAATGTCAGCTAAAAGTAAAAGACCAGAAGGAGGTAAGTCCCAGCCAGAACCAAAAATATCAAGGCAAGCTGCTCTTTCAAAACATTAACGTGTCCGGGTGTGGTGGCTCACACCTGGAATCCCAGCACTTTGGGAGGCCAAGGCGGGCAGATCACGAGGTCAGGAGTTTGAGACCATCCTGGCCAACATGGTGAAACCCCGTCTCTACTAAAAATACAAAGATAAGCTGGGCGTGATCGCGGGCACCTGTAATCCCAGTTACTCAGGAGGCTGAGGCAGGAAAATTGCTTGAACCAGGGAGTTGGAGGTTGCAGTGAGCCGTGGTCGCGCCACTGCACTCCAGCCTGGGCAACAGAGCGAGACTCCCTCTCAAATAAATAAATAATTCATGTAACACTTTTTCTTAGGGAAATAAGCTGATTTTTAAAAGGCCGTAGGTGCATAAAATTTGGTCAAGTTAGTCAATAGTTAGGAGGTAATCTTGTGAACATTTTCTTAGCTTTTACCATTACTAATTACACTGAGCCTTAGGACAGCAATTTAATATCGTCAGCCGATATTTTAAAAATTCACAAAGGTTGTCTCCTCTGTTTCATCTATGTGACAACTTTGTGAGATTCTGGGTGCCCAGAAAAGCTGCTCGTGGGCTCTCACACATGGCACAGGTCATTGTCTGTGCTTGTTTCTTCCCTACGTCCCCAACCCCACTCAATACCCCTTAGTTCATCCCAGCCGCCAAAACAAAACACCACAGACTGGGCAGCGGGTAAACAACAGAAACGTACTGCACAGTCCCAGGGGCTGCGGGTCCGAGGCGGAGACGCTGGCAGGTCGTGTCTGCTGAGGGCTGCTCTCTGCTCCAAGGGGGCTGTGTCCTTTCACACTTTCACCCGAGTATATGTGGAAACTTTAAACATTTACACTGTCCTTCTTTTGGGTTTAACTACGGTTTTGTGCTGTAAATCTAATTCTGTTTCTTTTTTCACTCAACACTATACATTTCAAAACATAAATCAACCTCAATGGGATGCAGTTTGCATACAATAAAATGTGCCCAGTTTAGGATGACAGTTTGACGCATTTAGCAAAACCGTATCTCTGTGTAAGCACCACCGGGGTCCCCTGACAGGACATTCCCATCACTCACCCTGTTTCCCCTCTGCCCCTCCACCTGGCCCTAACCACCCCTGCCGTAGCTGAGTTTTCCTGAGAGCTTCATGCAATCATAAGCCGTTTACTGTTTTCCATTTGTCTTCTTTCAGTCAATATAACGCTTTTGAGATTCATTCATGTGTGTGTCCAGAGTCGCTCCTTTTTATCGGTAAGTAGTAATACGCTATCCGGATGTACTGCGCTGTGTTCATCTACTCACCCTGAGATGAGTGTTTAGGGTGTTTCCAGTGTGGGGACGCCACGAATGCGCTGCTATGAAGGTTCACAGGCAAGTCTTCGTATGGACACGTTTTCATTCCTCTTGAGCAAACATGAAGGGGTGGAACTGGCGGCCTGTACACTGTGTGTATACTGAACTTCACTGGAAACTGCCACCCCACTTCCGGAAAGGCGTGGACTGTGCTGCCTTCCCTCTAGCCACGTGGGAGGGCTCCAGCTCCTCCACTTCTCGCCAACACACGGGGCACCTTCTAGGTGTCTGTCGGCCGTCTCCGTGTCTTCTGTGTAAAGCATCTATCCAGATCATTTGGTTTGTAAACACTGGGTTATCTTCTTATGAAAATATTTTTAGAATTCATTATATATTCTGAATATAGGTTTGTCTGACATGTGTACCGTAAATCTTTTCAACCATGTGTGGCTTGTCTACATATTTTAAGTGTTTATCAAATTTTCCAAAGTGTAGAAGTTTTTATTTTTTGAGAGAGTCTGGTTTTGTCACCCAGGCTGGAGTGCAGTGGTGTGATCTCAGCTCACTGCAATGTCCGCCTTCCGGGCTCAAGTCATTCTCCTGCCTCAGCCTCCTGAATAGCTGGGATTGCAGGAATCCACCACCATGCCCGGCTAATTTCTGTATTTTTAGTAGAGATGGGGTTTTGCCATGTTGGCCAGGCTGGTCTCAAACTCCTAGCCTCAGGTGATCTGCCCTCCTCAGCTTCTCAAAGTACTGGGATTACAGGTGTGAGCCACTGAACCCAGCCCAATGTTTTTAATTTTGAGAAACTTTACAGTCTTTATATCACGTCTAAGAAATCATAAAAGTTTTCTCCCATGTTTTCATCCAGAAGTTTTACAGTTTTACCTTTTATATGTATAAAAGGTAGAAGTTAACTTTTCTGTGTGGTATAAAGTCAGGATCCACATTCTTCCTCCCGTCAGTTGTGTGGACAGCCTGCGGTTCCATCGCCACATATGGAGTCCTTCCGACATCAAATTAACTTGGTATCTTTTTTCCAAAATCAGCTGCTTATGTACATGTGAGTCTATTCTTGCAGTCCTGAGATAAACCTTACTTGTATAAGGTTAACACATTACATTTCCGATATATTGTTGAATTGAATCTGTTAGGAATGTCTCTATCCCTGTTCATGAGGGATCCTGGTCTACAGGTTCTTTGATCCCTCCTTTTTCCCCTTGCAAAGTAATTATCTGGTTTTTGTTTTCAGGGTATAGTTAGCCTTTTAGAATGAGACAGAAAATACTCCATCTTCCATTATTTTCTGAAAGAGTCTGTATAAGAATTGGTATTATTTCAATCTTAAAGGTTCGGTAGGCTTCGCTAGTAAAGATAACTGGGTGTGGGGTTATCTCTGTATGGTCGTTAAACGGAAATTTGATTTCCTTGAGGGATATATCCTATCTAAATTTCCTTTTTCTTCTTATGTCAGATTTGATAACTTGTGTCTTTCACAGAACTCATCCATTGCATCTAAGATGAAGAATTTCCTGGCATACGGTCCTTCATGGTTAGAATGATTCCCTTATTCTCCTGTTATTTTATTTATTAATTTTCATTTTTGGAGACAGGTTCTCTGTCGTCTAAGGCTGGAGTGCAGTGGTGTGATCACTGCACTGCTCACCGCAGCCTAGATGCTCCCCCCAGTGAGGTGATCCTCCCACTGCAGCCTCCCAAGTAGCTGGAAGTACAAGCATATGCCACCACGCATGGGTAATTTTTCTAATTTTTGTAGAGATGGGGTTTTGCTATGTTGTCCAGGCTGGTCTCGAACTCCTGAGCTCAAATGATCCACCCGCCTTGGCCTCTCAAAGTGCTGGAATTACAGGCGCGAGTCCCCACACCTGGCCCCGTGTTCTCCTTTGAATGTCTGCAGGATCAGTAAGGATGTGCCCTCTTTCATTTCTGATGTCAGTCATTTGTATCTTCCTTCTATTTTTCTTGACCACTCTAGAAAAAGTTTTAACAATTTTAATGAACCTTTCAAAAACTATCAACCAGTTTTACAGATTTTCACAGATTTTTGGGTTGATTTCTAATCTGTTTATTTTTGCTCTTCTTTTTATTTATTTCCTTCTACTTACTTAGGGTTTAATGTATTCTTTTTTGTTCTGGTTTTAAAGATAAGTGTAGACCATACATTTTAGGATTTTCTAATTAATAACTATAAATGCCACTACATGTTGAGATCAATTATGGCTTGTATATGAATACCTAGTTCAGTAATTCTGCCTGTTTCTTTCCCTAGTGGGAGGAAGAGAGAGTACAGTGCACACCTCTAGGTGGGCCTTTGAAAGCATTTCTATACACCACTAACAAAGCAAAAGTACTGCCAACTAAACAGGTGTGTTCAGTGTGAAACGCACACGCCGGGGTCAGGCGCGGTGGTAAGACGGGCCTGCGCCTCAGATGCGTTCGGTGTGAAACGCACACGCCGGGGTCAGGCGCGGTGACTGTAAGACGGGCCTGCGCCTCAGATGTGTTCGGTGTGAAACGCACACGCCGGGGTCAGGCGCGGTGGCTGTAAGACGGGCCTGCGCCTCAGATGTGTTCGGTGTGAAACGCACACGCCGGGGTCAGGCTCGATGGCTGTAAGATGGGTCTGCGCCTCAGATGTGTTCGGTGTGAAACGCACACGCTAGGGTCAGGTGTGGTGGCTCCTGTCTGCAATCCCAGCACTTTGGGAGGCTAAAGCGGGAGGATCACTTGAGCCCAGGAGTTCAAGGATGCAGTGAGCTATGACTATGTCACTGCACTCCCACCCAAGTAAAAGAGAGAGATCCTGTCTCTATTTTTCAAAAAAGGACCAGACATGGTGGCTCACACTTGTAATCCCAGCACTTTGTAAGGCTGAGGTAGGAGAATCTCTTGAGCTCAGGTGTTCGAGACCAGCCTGGGTGACATGGTGAAACACAGTCTCTACAAAAAATACAAAAGTTAGTTGGGTATGGTGGCATATACCTGTAGTCCCTGTTACTTGGGGGGGCTGATGCAGGAGGATTGCTTCAGCCTGAGAAGTTGAGGCTACAGTGAGCCGCGTTCACACCATTGCACTCCAGCCTGGGTGACAAAGCAAGATCATGTCTCAAAAACAAGTACATGCTAGGATCAGTGAAGTATGTTAGGCGACCCTTACTGTGTACAGATAATTGCAAATGTGCACATTCCTTCTGCTGGTTATATAGTTATCTTGTCTTATTGGGGGTCAGGAATTCTAACACTGTTTTAGTGCTGAGAGAATATCTGCCTTCTTCCCAGCTTCGAGGGGAGATGTCTCCATCTTCTCCACTAGGCTGCTTGGCTGAAGACTGTGATGACTTACTCTAGCAAGTTAAGTAAGTCCTGGTAACCTCTGCTGAGACATGACAAACGGTAGATGCACAATGATCTCAACTTCCTCCAGAACTCCTCCAAAATGAGAGAAAAAGGACAAGACGAGGATGGAGAGCCCCAGGAAGGAAATGATGGGACATGAGACAGGCTGGGCATGAGAGAGAGGCGGAACACAACCACAGCTCAGGCTGTCGGTTCAGGGGCCCAGGCACCCAGCTCGGAATCCTGGCTTCACCAGTCACTCTCCAAGCAACCTGAACTTCCTCATCCTGAAAGCAGCACTAATGCCCGTCCGCACCACACAGGCGTGTGGTGTTAGAGGAGTTCGTTAGTGGACAGGCTCCAGCGAAGCTTGACAAATGCTAGCTACTGTTATCCCTATAACTGCAAAATGTCAACCAAATGTAAGAAACCGCTGAACGAGCGGTGACTCAGCAGAGGCGAGAGAAAGGAAGCCGCAGACCTGGACAGTGCGAGGTCAAAATGAAGCACTCCACACACAACGCCTGGTGTCCGCAAGGATCCGGCTCCCTCGAAGGAAGTGCCCAGCTGAAAACCTGTGAGCAGGTGTCGGGAGGCCCTGCATTCCTCTTCCCTCACTGGCAGAACGCTCAGCAATGAGGCGGAGGCCCTCTGGATGCAGAGATGTGATGGACAGCTTAGGGGTGCCTGTATCTTCCTGATTGGATTTCTTCAGTTTGTTCTTCATCTGTTTACTGCATTTTCCCCCTGGCTCTTTAAGGTGAACTGTTAATTTTTCTTGTTTTTAATTTTTGTTTCCTGACTAAATATTAAATCCTCTCCTGCTTCGGCTACACACACCCCACAGACAGGAAATGTGCCATTACTAACATTTGGCTGTGAGTATTTTATCAGTTTTACGGTATTTCCTCTTTAATCCAAGGATTTTAAGGTTGTCGTTTTCAGACTTTTGTTGAAGCTGTCCTTTCGCTACTGAGTTCTAGCTTCACTGCGTGTGGTCTGCAGCGGAGTTTACATGATGCTGATTCTTCTGGATTCGTGAAGTTTCCTTGCAGTGAGGTACATGACTGACTTTTGTGGGTGGTCCTCATATGTCTGAATTCCCTGTTGGATGTATGGTCCTGTATGCCCCTATGAGGTCTGGCTAATTCATTCGGTCCCTAGTCTATTCTGCTTGCTTTTTATGCACCCGGTGTCTGTATCTAAGCACATTTTTGATTCATCTACTTCGATGAGACTTCAGTTCCCATCTTACCTATTTCAAGGTCATACTGTCGATGCGCACGGAGTCAGGATCAGTACATCTTCTTGCTCTCCTGTTTCTCCCACAATAAAACATTTTTCTTTGCTCCTTTCAGTATTTTCTCTCAGATTCTGCTTTGACTCATATCATGGCCACCACAGCTTTTCTTGGTTCATATTTCTCCTTTTTCAGTCTTTGATTTCCAACCTTTGAAATGTATGTTCTTATTTTTAATTTGTTTAGAGACGGGGTCTTGCCCTGTCACCCAGGCTGGAGTGAAGTGATGCAATCACAGCTCACTGCAGCCTTGAACTCCTGGGCTCAAGTGATCCTCCTGCCTCTGCCTCTGGAGGATCTGAGACCACAGGCGTAGGTAAGCTACCACGCCCAGCTAATTTTTAAATTTTTATTTTATTTTTATTTTTTATTTTTTTTAAAGACAGGGTTTCACCATGTTGGTCAGGCTGGTCTTGAACTCCCGACCTCAGGTGATCTGCCGGCCTTGGCCTCCAAAGTGCTGGATTACAAGCATGAGCCACCACACCCGGTCAATTTTTAAATTTTTAGTAGAGACAGGGTCATGCTATTTTGCCCGGGCTTAAATGATTTGCTTTAAATTTGTGTCCCGTGGACAAGAGACTGCTGTATCATGATTTTAGCCAACACGGGAATCGCTGCCCTTTGAGAGGGGAATTCAGTTCATTTTCAGTTACACCTTTATTTTAAAACATTTCAGCCATCGTGTCCTACACTTCCTATTTACTACGCTTTTCTTTTCTCCTTTTCCACCTTTTTTTAGAGAGAAGAAAACCTTCTTTCCGCTTGGAAAGAAGTCCAAGAAGATACTTGGACTTTTCTCTGCCTCTCACTTTTCTCTCATTCCCTCTAGCTCTGTACCTCTGGTGGGAATTCTGCAAACAAGCGTCCCAGCTTCCTGGTTTATTCTTGGCTCTATCCGTAATGCGGCTTTTCAATCCATCTCTTCAATTATTTCATCAATTATATGTTTTATACTCAATGCTTCCAACTGGACTTTCTTCCTGTTTCTTCTCCGTATTTCCAATTTTCTTTTATCACTTTGAATATATTGATTATTGGATCACTTCTCTCTTCACAAGGGCGGTGGTACGAACTCTCTCCTCCCTCTTCCCTTTCTTCTTTCTGAGTCCCAGACACGGTCCAGCGGGATGTGCTTATCAAGGGTAATGGGAGGGGAGCCAGAGCCCTCAGCCTCGCCCGAGCCCCGGAGCCCTGGCCTGCTCCACTGTCTCCCCTGGCCTCGCCCCTCGCCCTCCACCCCCGTGGGGAGCCAGCCACCTCAGGGGACCCACAAGGTCTCTGGCTGTGCTGCTGAGCGGGCTCCCTCCAGGATCCATCAATCTCACTCTCTCCTGTGGCACCCGAGGACGGGGTTCAGCCGGGGAGCCAGCGGCCCGTGCCACGCCGCCTGCTTCAATTCCCTTTCTTACCGCATCCATCAGATGGTTTTCACATGTCATCTCTTTAAACGGGAGCTCTATTACAATACATTATGATATTCATCTTAATTGAGTGGATGTCAAGACACTGGAACAGTGAGAGAACACTGTCTAGTTTGGGAGAAAAATATTTTCCTCAGGGTGAGCACATGACAAACCTTGGAACCTGAAAGCCTCTGGAACCCGCCCGGAAGCCGCCAGGGGGACAGTGTGAGATCCGTGATAGCGACACCGTACGGTGAAGGCCATTTCTTCATACATGAATTCCAAATTAAGCTTGCCTTCTGCTAAGGTCTAAGGTACACAGTGGGATACTACAAAAGACCATTTTATTCAATAACGTGCCCTGTTACTTCACCCTCTGGGAGGACCAGTGAGCTCCTGCCCCTTCACACAGACGCAGGAAGACAAGGTCCTCTGACTCAGTTGTTGAAAGAAGCAGAAACAGACCCGAGAGCACCGAATGGGCAGGAGAAAGTTTGTTCTCTGGCAAAGCAGGTGTATTTCAGAAGACTCCGTGGAGAACAAATGGTTAACTCTATCATCAAAACCACAAGAATTTATGTTTCTAAAGGTAATTCTGGATGATTCTGGGCTGAATCATCAGGAAAAAAAAAAAAAAAAAGCAGCAAATGTCACAGCAAATGTCTGGCCTGAGACAGGCACGGCAAACCGCTGCGCCGGGCCAGACAGAGCGAGGCTGAGCCTCCACCCCACCTGTGCGCCAGGAGACCCTGCATCCTCCGTCTCCTGCAGGCAATGCGGGAGCAAAACTTTCCACGCTGACATATACACGGTAATATTCTGTCATTAACATTTACACTCCCGGGAATCCCTCAACTTAATTGAAAGAAAGAAAATAAGTTTCTTTACCTCTATTCAATCCAAAATAATGTCTATCATTTTCATTAATAGACACAGATCATGCACGCAGCACAGTGCAATAGGCATCGATCGGTTTTACAGCCGGTCCCACAGCAGATCCGGTCCCACTGGGTTATAATTTCCCCTGGTATACAAATAGACCCACAATAAATCTAAAATGGTATTGTGTCACTCAATCAAAGAGGCAGAAAACAGCCAAGGGAAAAAATATATTTTGGATTCTTGCACTATATTGATGTCTGTGGTGAGTAAGATAATCATTTATATGGAAAGTAATGTCATTGTTCATTTTGGAATTATTGAAATCAGTTTCTGAAAATGAAAAAGACTGAGGCAAAAATGAAAAAAAAATTGGAGAGCAATGCCTTCCAACAACTAGTTCATCATCAAGTAAGACTCATAAATATCCTTGCCACCGAATACACATATACGCACTTTGTACGAATGAAGCAAGGCAGTATGCTGCTTACCCAGTGCACTGCATTCTTCAGCAGCTATGCTGGCATAATGAGGGCCGCGTGCCTAGAAACCATTCTCTTATTTACACAGGAAAGAAGGAACGGAGGGAGGCCACCTTCCTGAGCGTCACCCTTCTGCAGGTTACCTGCCCCGCGGCAGGGCGCACAGCTGTCACTTGCAGCCAGACTCTGGCTCCCTTTTCTGGAGCAGGAAATACCAGGTTACAGCTCCGGGCCAAATCTGGCCAACTGCCTGTTTTCTTAAAGAAAGCTTGACTGAGGCCAGGTGCGTGGCTCACACCTGTAATCCCAGCACTTTGGGAGGCCGAGGTGGGCAGATCACCTGAGGTGAGGAGTTCGAGACCAGCCTGGCCAACACGGTGAAACCCCATCGCTACTAAAAATATAAAAATTAGCCAGGCGTGGTGACAGGTGCCTGTAGTCCCAGCTACTCGGGAGGCTGAGGCAGGAGAATTGCTTGAACCCAGGAGGCAGAGGTTGCACTGAGCTGAGATTGTGCCACTGCACTCCAGCCTGGGTGACAAAGTGAGACTCCATCTCAAAAAAAAAAGGCAAGCTTGACTAGAACACAGCTGCACTTTTTGTTTATATACTGCCTATGGCTCCTTCATGCTGCAACAGCAGACTCGGGAGTGTCAGGCCCGAAAAGCCTGACCCATGTGTGTCTGCCCCTTCCCAGAATGAGGCCGTCAGCTCCCGGAGGACTGCTACGTGGAACTCCCCACCCCCATACTCCTGATGCCCGAATCCTGAAGCCCTAGGCTCTGGCTAAATAAAACATGGAACTTCAGCACAGTGAAATAGTAAAACGATATTGACTAAGAGCCTCTAACGATCTAGGATAGGGAACTCTAGTATAATGCTAAGGGTTAAGTATATGAAATTGTAAATTCTGTCCACTTACATCACTGCAAAATGTACATGCATGAAAAAAGACCAGCAGGCAATACATCAAAAAGTGAACACTAGTTGTCCTTAGATGGTAAAATCTTGGATAATTTTTGGCTACTTTTTAGTAAATTTCTGAAAAGAATGTATATTTCATTTTTAATTAGAAAACAAATTGGCTTTTTGAAATGAAAAAATAAAACCGTAACCCTAAAAACATACGTAATTACTGTCTGACAAACTATTGCACTCTCCCATTAAAAAAACAAAACAAAACTTGGTGTCTTTAAATTAGCTCACACAAAACTACACATTGCACTTGCTAATTCTTTAATGAACACAGTCCATGACCACTCACAGGCTACAGCCAGCCAGCAAAATGTCGTGTGCAACCCAATTTGGGCACCTCGACGTGGGAGAAGGCAGCTGACCGTAACAGAGCTGCCCGTCCGACAGTTGCTCAGTTGCTCCGGACCGTGGTTTTCTGATGGCCACTGCCTGCAAGCGTGGCATATTGATTCCCACACTCCGCTTATGGGGACTGGTTCAGATTGTTGTGCACTGCACTTCCTACTAAATGCTTACTTTTAAAATCTGACTGTGTCCTAAAGGATCTCAGGTGCTACTGGAGTAACGCTTTGTGTCTTGGTAGCGAGAAAGGGCATTCCCTGATCAGAGGGCAGGCACCCATTTTAGAAACCATGAGGCCAACAGCCCTCAGTGTGAAAGCATGCTTCTTCATTTTTATGCTTTTTAGAGATGGGGTTTCCCTGTGTTCCCAGGGCTGATCTCAAACTTCTGGGCTCAAGGGATCCTCCTGCCTCAGCCTTCCGAGTAGCTGGGACCACAGGGCGCACAGCCACAGCTGGCCCAGGAGTCTTTAGGAGTGCTCAGCTGTGCGTGGAGGGAAGCCAATTCCCAAGTCCTTCCCACTCATGGCAGAAGAACACAGTGCCTGAGAGAAACCCATCAACTCGATGAAATGTACTGGGTTTGGGACAGGCATGCCGGAGTGGGGTGGCAGGGAAGGCGCAGAAGGTAGAGGTGCCATTTGTCTTATTTTCTCCCTCCCTCCCTGCTCCTTCACCCACTTGCTGCCTGAAAACTTGCAAAAATGCCCCAGAGGGTCCCACGAAGTACAGCATCCAGCCCAGAGTGGGCAGGGTCTAAAGGCAGAGCTGGGGCAGTGCTGATTCGGGAGTTGGGGCACCGAAGCAGTCATGCAGGAAACCGGGAGAAGGGGACGGGAAAATGAGCGGATATGAGGCTTGTTCCACGGCAGTGTCCACGTGCGTCTGTGGAAGCTCCAGCCTACAGGCCCCCGGGGGATTTTCCATCTTTCTGCCCTCATCTTTTACCAGCTCAAGACTGCACTGATATGATAACACAGCCTAATTATCTCCAAGGTCTCCCTATCATCACTTGGACCCTCTTCCTAAAACATGGTTCTTATGAAGTCATTTTTCTACCTAAACACCTTCAGGGGCTCTCTCATGCCAGAGTCCCAGGAGAAGTCAAGGTCCCCTGGCCAGCATTCAAAGCGCCCACTCTCGGAGCTCAACCACACTCCTGGTGAAACCTTCCTCCCAGGTCCTACCTCCTCCAAGCAGCTTTCTAGAACCCTGTGCCCTCGGCCGTGGTTCTCTGTCCTCTGGGAGCACAACGGCCCTCGGTGCCATCATCTACTCTTTGATCACACATGGCCTCGAAGGGCTCAGGTTTTCTTCGTCTTGCATGAAGCACCCACTGAAATCACGGATTTTCAAGCCACATCTTATTCCCCCAACCAGAGGATACATTTTTTGAGGGCAAGACGCTTCTCAGCATCTCCTATGGTGGTCAGCGTGGGTCTTATTACGTACATAGTTGGTACTGAAGAAATTAGATTTTGGGCAATACACGAATGAACTCCTGAGTCATGTGGACCAGTCTCTTCCTGGGGTAACGTGAAATGGGCATTCATAAGCCTTTCTGGACAGGGATCAGACATAAAGAGAGTTGGAAAGAACACTCGTGAAGGAGCGAGGCTGCTGAGGCCCAAATGAATGGCCTGGAGGACGACAGTGGGGCGCGCACTGGAGGCCCTCGGAAAGGAGAGGGGTGGGAAATAGAAAGGCCAGGAGACGCAGAGAAGAGACACAGAGCCCCCAAAAGAAAAAACATTTCAGGTGATGGATATCCCAGTTACCTCGATTTGATCATTAACTCACTGTGTATGGTATCAAAATGCTGCGTGGACTGCCCCGAAATGTGATACATCAATTTAAAGAATACAAAAAGATTTCATTTAAAATTACCCAGTCTGTTGTATTCTGTTACAGCAACACAAAACAAAGGCAAACGAGAAAAGGCACGATGGACGAAGAACCAAGCAGAACGAGGGAGGCGCGCTGTAACGTGTGCCTCACAGACTGGCGCGTGCAGAGATCAGCGTTCAGAAGGGACCTCACCAACACAGAATGACCAACAAGCACGGAGCGCAGCTCCAAAACCACGTGGCTTCGGCCTCAAGAGGGCCTTCCACCTCACTGGATGTGCTGAGGTCGGAGGCCCCCCATTAAGTCCTGCTTGGCACAGGCCCTCTGGCGGAGGGCTTCCAGCTCTCCGTTTTGGGGAGAGCATCTCTTTGACCTTCATGTACTTTTGCCTCGGCCACACTCCTGTTCTCTCAGCACGGGACGCCTCCGGTCTGTGTGCCGGGGCCTCTCTCTCGTCTCTGCACCTCCTGGCTTTCCACTTCCCATCTCGGTCCCCTCCCGCGGCCTCCTGTGGACCCCCTGCAGTCCTCCAGGCTCCAGCACTGCCTCTCCTGCTATGGGTCCCGTCTCCTGTGTTCTTTATTTCAAACATTACAGCGCGCCTGCCTCTCTTTCTGCTTGGTTCCTCTTTCGTAGCACTTTTTCTTGTCTGTCAGTTTTGTGTGGCTATAACAGAATACAACAGGCTGGGTAATTTATCATGAATGTTTTGGTATTGTTTAAATTGACATGATAGTCATGTGTATTTTGGGGCTCCGTGTGAAATTTTGATCCACGCATAAATAATGGTCAAATCGGGGTAACCGGGATCCCTCCAGCCTATCCATCGCCTCACTGGTTTGCCTTTCCTTTCTGGGCCGCCTTTCCTACCTCTCAGTGCCTCTTTCGGCCTCTTCCCTTCATCCCCAATCATTTTCAGGTGAGCGGCAGTAAAAGGAGGTCTCTCCCTGGGTAGAAACGTGCAGCCCTTATTTGGCGGGGGGTTTGGGGGCACCCAGGGACAGCTAATGTGAGGGCTGCACCAGTCACCCCAACATCATGAATCCCCAGCCCTGGGGTCTGGGGTCAATTTGTACTTGGCTGCAGAGGCAGGGCAGGAAGGCCAAGTTTTCCTCCACCCTCAGGCTGCTCTGCCCCTCCCAGCCCCTTCCAGAGTGTCCCCGGGGACGCTTCTTTGCTATGCTGTTGCCCCCACCACATCCACCAGGGCTATGGGTGAGAAGGCAAGAGACTGTGGGTCTGGAGTGTTAGGCCACCTTGACAGAAGCCTCAAGAGTGTCCTCAGCCGACAGCACGGTGTCTGCCGCACAGCTGCGCCATTCCCGTGGTACCTCAAGGGAGAGGCATTTATCTACTAGCCGGTAACAGCCACGACATACACGCTTTTCAGCAAAACATAAAATGGGAAAGTAGAAATTAAAGACTGGCAAGATGGTCTAGGGGAGAAAATTAAACTTGGAGGCAGGAAACACACAGATCCCATTGTGCGTTCTGCCGGTGATGCAGGCGCTGAAAGGCGGCATCTACCATCTTGGAATATCACACACGTTTCTTCAGTTATATTCCCAAGTGTTATAACTTTTAAAAAGAATAGAGGTAGAAAAATCATGGCTTCTTTTTTCACTGCTAAAAATAAATGGAAAGATTACGCTTCAGCTCAAGCAAGGACTTAAATGACTCCCTTTTCATAATGGCCTTTTCTTCCCCGAAAGAAAGTCCGGTTTCCAGTCTGACCAATTGTGGTACTAAGTCACACAATGAACAAAACGAGGAGAGGGTGTTCTTGGAAATCACAAAGCAGTGAGCTGCCCGTGAACAGATCAGAAGGAAGAAAAAGGATCTTTCACTCTCAGAGAGCAAAACCCAAGCCTCCAGCGGCAGTCCCAAATCACAAAAAAAGAAGACAGGGTACACTCATGTCTGTCACCTGGGCTCCTAGGACCCAGTGAATGCCTTGGGCCCACAGGGGTTAAGATCCCTGTGGGAGAGCCCAGGTGAGCAGGTCCCGGGATGCGGCAGGGGCCACTCACCAGCGCAGGGCAATCTTGATGGGGGTGGTGAGGCAGGAGGTGAACAGGTCGGCCGGGAGGTCCGGGATCATGGGCAGCAGCTCCGTGGCTTCGCAGGCTGCCAGCTGGATGCAGTTTTTCATGGACGGAGGCAAAGGCATGTGAGCAAGAGGGTGATTCGGGTTGATTGCAGCTACCTGAAGGGCAGAACATTTGGGAAAAGTGAGCGTGACTTAGCTGCTGGTCACAACCAAAGAGTAAGCTGGAGCTGTAACACAGAAGGAAAGAATAAGTCAACTCAGGTGGTGGGCTTTCACTGGGAAGTCCTCTGGAGAGAGGCGTTGCTCACAGCTGAACTGTCTCCGGAGGCGGACTGCAAGGCTGGAAAACTCGGCCGTTTCATTCCCAAGGCCCTTCGGACAGCACAGCCTGGTTGTGTCTCTGTCAACTCTGTTTTCTTCGCAGTTTTCCTCTTTGCAGGCCCCTACGCACCCTAGGATTGTATCGGTGTGCACCAGGTCTTTCATAGTGTCTTATGGTTTATTTTAAACGTTCATTCATTCATCCATCCTTACCTTATTTTGTTGTGTTTAATGACATGGGAAGACGTTCAGGTTACGATGTGAACTCCATCCCCACCACCGCCACCAGCAAACTCAAAACGTGAGTGTGAGTGTGCTGACGAAAGCGACCCGTCAAAAGAGACTGAAAACAGAGCGCGCTCGTCCCAGAGGGGGGGTTCCGGTGATTTCATTTTCCCTCATCTTCCTCCGGCTACTCTAAATGTTCCACAAACCAAGGTGCGTTAATTTCATAATCAGAGAGAAAGGTGAGGTGTTTTTTAAATTCAATACTTTCTCTCTCTTTCAAGTAGGGATAGTGATGCCGGTTGATATTTATTTCAATGAGATTTTGGTAATGTAAAAGTATCACGTGAAGCTGATACCGCACTGCCATTGTAGGAAGAAAGGCACCAAGCGAATTGTTGTTTTCTACTAAAATGCACAGAAATTTTCACTTTTTACCAAATGACATTTAATTGAAAGTGTAACTCTTCCTTCTTTTTAAATAATGCATTAGGTTCAAACGTTTAAAAATATTATAGGACTGTCTGATACACCAGTTTACTACACTGCCATAGGTAACCAGGTGGGTTCCTGTTTTACCAGAAATCCACAGCATTCAACAAAACACAGGATCCTTATACCACCAAGTACAATTATTCTAGCATTGACATAGTGATTCCTTTCCCTGGCTACCTACATTACCTGTACGTGACCATTTTGGTAATCCACAGGAGGTTTTTCTGTCGTTTTCAGAAATAATGAGGTCCACAAGAATCCATGGCATTTTGGCCAGTAAAACTGAGTAAGTATAACACATGAGGGATTAGGTACACACACTGCTCTGCCTGCTTCTGGAAATAAGTGTAAAGAACTGGAAAATATCAGAACGAGTTCTGCCAAATAGAATGCCTTCTGCTAGGGAGGCACAAGCCTCCCACAAGCAATGCCTCCCTTCTGGGGACGCAGAGTCCTCGGACACTGTGGGATGCAGGGAGGGTGCACCTGCTGGAAGGGAGGCCCCAGGTATCCTGGGAGAGCTCAGCTCGCAAAGCCCCTCTGTCGGTAACATCAAGGCTGGTCGGTTGTTAGGGGGAGAGGGGCAAGGGTAGCAGCCAACAAAGAGACAGGGAGTGGATAAAACATGAAGAACGCACCACGGGCTGCTGGAGATGGAATCTGCGTTGTCTTCACTTCAGCTACCCTGAAATGCGATGTGTGAGCATCATTTAGATAGCTAAAGCAACAGAAAAAAAACCCCAAAATACTCATCACACAGGGCCACACGGCTTGCAGGACTCCTTCATTCACTCGTCCACAAATACCTCTTATTTGGCTGCAAGGGAAAGCATTCTGCTGGAGGGCCCCAACCTTGTCTGCCCTTCCAGGATGGGGATGTGCACCGAACGCGGCTTCAGACCGAGAGCGCCTCCTGCTGACGCGGTGCTGCTGACCACGCGGCCAGCCTGAGGGCCGGACCATCGTGTTACAGAGGCTGGTTGCCCCCGATCCGGGGCCTGGACGCTGTTTGTGACTTACACAATTCCTAGAGCTTGTTTTGTGCCTACCACAGGGACCAGATCACTTTTCTGTTGACTCAGACTGTGGCAGGCCTCCATGAAGAATACTGCCAATGACGATGAACGTGGGGTGGGGGTGAGACTAAGCCGGAACACAAGGCCTTTCATCGCTTGATGTGGGGAGAATGCGTCTGCGTCTGCATCTGTGCTCCTCCCTTTTAGTCGCATAGTTCTTAGTATTTCTTACAGCTCTTTCACATACACTATTTCATTTGCTTTTTACCATCCCCATGTCAAAAGAGCTTTGACAACGAGGACACGGACCGCCCAGCACCTGGGCCAGCATATGCGTCCGGAGTGCTGGGCAATGCCTCTGATTTTAGGGCCACCTTTTGCCCATCACCCCATCTGGATCCTCCTGAATCTCTACCAAGCACCCATGATGCCAACATGAAAGCTGCCCAGCCCCCTCCAGACAGCACTCCCAGCGCCTTTGGAATGAAATACACACACGGCTGTATTCACTCACAGACAGTTCACGCTGCGATGATGGTACAGAATGCGCTGTCATCTGACTGCTGACAAACTTTGTTTTAACATCTCAAATTTCTCAAACGGAAGGTACTAACGACTGCTAGTTTTATTAATAACCCATTCTAATACAGGAACATTAAACTCAGAGTACAAATCAAATTCTCATATACTTAATAATAAACATATTTTAAACTTTTCAATAAAAACTGCTATTTCTAGAGGAATGACGTTTTTTTCATTATGGTAAATTATACGTAGCATAAAATTTGCCATGTTAACCATTTTAAATGTACGGTTCCGTGGCATTAGGTATATTTACATGCTGTGCAACCGTCACCAAGCGTCACCAAGGAGTGGGGTTTTTTAAAGAAGAGGGCGGAGGGAAGGCAAAATCCTGTTTAAAACCATTTCCTGGGCTCCAGGCTCTATAAGCTAGAACAGCATTGGCAATGCAACCTGCTCTACGCAGAAAATTAGTTTCCAGGTCTGCTGTGACAGGCCCACTAAGCCAGATGATGGGTCCAGGCACAATGTGGGCCTGCAGCTCTTCAGACCTGCATCACAAAAGGCGGACGGATGAGTGCCTGGTGCTGGCAGGGCACAGGAAGCGGTGAGGAAGTGCTCTCTGACTCCCGTGCTTGGTGGAAACGCACTCTCCCCTGCCTCCAGAAAGGGCTGGGAGGGAGGAGGGAAGGAGACCGCTGAGGCAGACCTCCGTAAAATGAAGCATACGGTCCTGAACTGTGGAATGTGCATTTGCCGTGTCTGCTGGGACTGCCGGCAGACTTGTGCTATTTTAATCGGCACCACTACCACCGGCCATGTAAGAATGGCTGGCAGGCGATTAAAAAGGAAACAACTTTGAGTGGGAGGAAATGGCCCTTTAAGCAAAAACTCAGTTCAATATTCCTATTTTCCTTTTCAAAGGGATGTGTACATAGCAGAAATATAGCAAAAGTATCAGTGTGGTTTACTAGTTTTAGCGTTTCTTTTTATATAACCAGGTGCGGTGGCTCACACCTGTAATCCTAGCGCTTTGGGAGGCTAAGGCAGTAGACCACTTGAACCCAGGAGTTCAAGATCAGGCTGGGCAAGATGGAAAGACTCCCATCACTCCAGAATCTTTTTGTTTTTAATTAGCTGAGTGTGGTCATGCATGCCTGTAGTCCTGGCTTCTCAAGAGGCTGAGGTGGGAGGATGACTTGAGCCCAGGAGTTTGAGACCAGCCTAGGCGAGATGGAAAGACCCCCGACTCCATGTAAAAATTGTTTAAAATTAGTCAGGTGTAGTGGTGCGTGCCTGTAGTCCCAGCTACTCAGGAGGCTGAGGTGAGAGGATTCCTTGGGCTCAGGACTTAAAGGAACCAGTGAGCTGTGATGGCACCGGCGCACTCCAGCCTGGGTGACAGAGCCAAGCCATCTCCAAAAACAAAGAAAAAGAGCCCCTCAAAACGAAAAGCCTTTATTTTTGTAAGTTGCTTCTGTGTTAAATTTACTCTCTAAACAGAACTGAGAACTGAGCCAACAGGTCCTCCGGCCACAGCCTCAAACACTGAGTCCCTCCATCGCTGCCAACCATTTGTGCCAAGCTTCTGAAATCTAACACTTCTCATACCAATACCACCTTTCTTCCAAGTCAGCACTAGAACGCAGGATGGCATGGGGCGGTGGGGCGAGTCTCCAGTGTACAGAAGCCACATGAGAACTCAGCAGGTGTGAAGGGGACTTCCTTAGGGACCAAGAAGCCCGTGTCTTGCCTGGTGGAGCGGCAAAGCTCACGCGGTCTAGACCCGCTGGGTTTGCGTCTGCGTTCCTATCTCGGCCTGCTCCCCGGGACGCACGGGCACTTAGCCCAGTGCCCCCTGCAGCACGCCGGACGCCGGAAGCATTCCGTGGTTGCCCAGCGAGGCAGTCAGACAGGCAGATGCAGAAACAGCTTTATCCCAAATAGAAACTTCACTTCCCGATTCAGCGTGGCCATTCACAGAAACCCCACCTACCTAAAAGCCCCCCAAGGCATGCTGGTGTACAGACAGGAAGACATGCACTTTGGTTGCAGAGGATCCAACAGCAGGTAAAAGGCAGTGACAGTGACTCCCTTACCTGGTACCTGTCTGCCCGGCCTAGGAGGAAGCATGCTGAATTCCTTCTTTCCCACCACACTGCTGGGTGCACAGAAGAGTACACAGGAGACCTCTTTGCTTTAGGGGTATGAGAACCAATAGCAGTTTTTTTTGTTTTTTTTTTTTTTTGAGAGGGAGCCTCTGTCGCCCAGGCTGCAGTGCAGTGGTGTAATCTCGGCTCACTGCAATCTCCACCTCTGGGTTCAGGCGATTCTCCTGCCTCAGCTACCTGAGTAGCTGGGACTACAGGCACACGCCACCACACTGGGCTAATTTTGTATTTTAGTAGTGATGGGGTTTCACCATGTTGGCCAAGCTGGTCTTGAACTCCTGACCACAAGTGATCTGCCTGCCTTGGCCTCCCAAAGTGCTGGGATTACAGATGTGAACCACCACACCCAGCCAGAACCAATAGCATTTAAAAAAAAAAAATTCCTGACATTCAAGCCAAAGGATTCTGCCAATGAACATTATTCTTCAGGGCTAGCAACCCAAGGGGGAAAAAATAAACTATTTGAACAGATGATTTATTTCCTATACATTGTTTTGATTTTGCATTCATCTAAGATACTGATGCTGTAACTGAAATTATCTTTCAGAAAAAGGCCTGAATCTAAAGCTAACTACTTGTGATTGGCCAAGCTTGTGAGAGCACCCAGGCCTAACAGTGACCAATTCCAGCCTAGAGCCATGGTCTTCCTGAAGAGCAAGGCCCAAGCTGAACGTGTCCCCAAAGGGGTTTCTTCTAGGGAACCTATGGACTCAGACACGAGAAAGACTCTCACCTTTAAATGCTCTCCAGAGTCTTCTGGAGGGTTTGGGAAGGATCCAGAAAACTCTTCTGAAGCGATACACAGGAACCGGATCCAAGAAAGACATCTGCTGCATCGTCCCCACATGTGGGTAACATGGAGTCGGTACACACGGATTTCATGAAGAAGCTGGCCAGCAGCTCACCCAAGCCTGCCATCCGCCCCTGCAGAAAGCACTGCTGGACGGGCAGCAGGGGCAACTAAACAGAACTTTTTTTTTTTTTTTTTTCAGATGGAGTCTTGCTCTGTTGCCCAAGCTGGAGTGCAATGGCGTGATCTCAGCTCACTGCAACCTCCACCTCCTGGGTTCAGGTGATTCCCCTGCCTCAGCCTCTCAAGTAGCTAGGATTACAGGTGAATGCCACCATGTCCGGCTAATTTTGTATTTTTAGTAGAGACAGGGATTCACTATGTTGGGTAGGCTGGTCTCGTGCTTTTGACCTCAGGTGACCTGCCCTCTGGCCTGCCAAAGCACTGGGATGACAGGCAGGAGCCACCGCCCCCAGCCTGCACATAACGTTTTCTAAATAAAATGTGAACACTGGGCTGCTTCTTTCCCTTCTCAAACACATGTAAGAGGCATCTTTACAATGAGATTGGTACCAATAACTTCAGAGGAGTCTTTAACAAGTAGTTTCTGAAAGTAACATCTTCTTGGTAATACTTTCAGTTCTGCCTTAAAGTAACATTTATTCTCAATTCAACAACACCTGCTTACAATGGATATCTTTGCAAGGTTCAAAGAAAGGCTGAGATCGATGAAGGAATAGTGTATTACTTATCCAACTCTATAAATATTCTAAGATATTAATGCAGCATCTATCACGTGATACACAGCATAATGAAAATGGGAGATGCAAAGCAGGTCATATTTTTAATACAGCGTTGATATAATTATGTATATCAAATATTAGATTTTAATTTAAAAACCAAGTTGTGCCTATTGCTGGCAACTATAACATCCAGGCTGAGATAGCGGAAGGAGCCCTGTCTGGTGGATGAAGAAGTCCAAGGAGGTGGAGAAGCTGCAGGGCCGCCCTTCCAAGGCCAGCCAGAACACCTTCATAACAACAGTTTGTCACAGTGATCCTGACTTTCCCCAAATGAGGCGTCCGGTATTTTAAAGCCATTTAGTTATTAGCAACTCAACAGCTTCGAAATGCTCTGGGACCCTTCTTCAACTCTGTGAAGATGGTCAATTAGCAACGATGCCAATTTCGCTCACACAGTCAACTAAAAGAGATACTGAAAATTCTCCGCCCTATATGTCAAGAAGAAATTTTTAGGGGGAAGGCTTAGCTTGCCAGGGGCAGTAGGGGGAGAATGATCTAACTCATGGCGTGTTCTTTGAGCAGTCTCTAGTAGAGGTGGCTAGTAGCCAGAATTGTGCCAGTAACCAGGGCTGTGCTAGTAGCCAGGTTTGGGCTAGTAAACCAGGGCCGTGCTAGTAAACCAGGGCCGTGCTAGTAAGCCAGGGCCATGCTAGTAAACCAGGTTTGGGCTAGTAAACCAGGGCCGTGCTAGTAAACCAGGGCCGTGCTAGTAAACCAGGTTTGGGCTAGTAAACCAGGGCTGTGCTCGTAGCCAGGGCCGTGCTAGTAAACCAGGGCTGTGCTAGTAAACCAGGTTTGGGCTAGTAAATCAGGGCTGTGCTCGTAGCCAGGGCCGTGCCCCCCGACCCTTGTGCTGAGGGCACAGTAGCAAAGTGAGCTGTAAAAGTAGCATTTGGGTTTAAAGTACTGCTTGGTTTTATGATCTGTTTCATGAGTTCTAGTCCATGCAGAAACCTTTCACAAGAACCAACAGCCTCTTCCAGGCCTGGCAATGCCCAGCACTCCCAGAGCACTGCTGGAGCTCCCTACGTAAGTGGGTCCCATGTCCCGGCCTCACCTTCTGCCTCTCCCTGTCACTGACACACCTTCCTTACCTTTCTTTAAGCCGGCCACTTCTCATGTTCTAAGGCTCAGGTCAGACATCTCCTCTGGCCTCCCTCGGTCCTTGTGGCTTCTTGTCTGCATGGCGGAACCTGCAAGAGCACCTGGTTCCCTTGTCCAGGGTCCTGCCCCCTGCCAGGTGGGTGCCTTCACCCCCGGAAATATTTTGTTCATCATTAGCCACTGTGCTTCTGCTGACTTAACTCTAATGAACTGAGTCATAAGAGAGACAGCCTTGGCTAACTGCAGGAGAGAGACAGGAAGACAGGAAGGGTTCCAATTCTGTTAACAAGGAGGAGGGAAAGCTGGAGAAACCAGTAATAGCTGGGCATAAAGTGGGTGTTCTTCCTGGTGCTCAAAGGGCAATCTAATAAGGCCGGATCCAGACACATGTACTCACTGCACCTTCCAAAATAAACACCAATTAGAAAGGAACATATGTGAAGCACTAGGAATGTGCTGCAGCATGCCACCAAAAGCTGTCTGTGCGTATACATGTGTTTAGGTGTGTGTATACGTGTATATATGTCTGCATGTATGTGAGTATATGGGACTATGTGTGTATATAGGTGAGTGTGTATATATACAAGTGTGTATATATGTTTAGATGCACGTATATGTGTATATGTGGGTATCTGCATAGGTGTGAATATATAGGACCACATGTGTATATAGGTGAGTATGTGTGTATATGTTTAGGTATGTGTATACGTGTATATATGTATATATGTATGTATGTATGTCAGTATATAGGACTATGTGCGTATATAGGTGAGTGTGTATATATGCATGTGTGCATATATGTTTAGGTGTGTGCATATGTGTATATGTGCGTATCTGCATATATGTGAGTATACAAGACTATGTGTATATATAGTGTGTATGTGTGTGTATGTTTAGGTGTATGTATATGTGTATATATGTGTATATGTACATGTGTATGTGAGTATATAAGTTTAGTGTGTGTATATGTGTATATATGCATATATGTAAGTATGTGAGTATATAGGACTGTGTGTACATAGGTGTGTATAGGTGTGTGTATATATGTATAGGTGTGTGTATACAAGTATATATGTGTACATGTACATATGTTAGTATATAGGACTATGTGTGTATATAGGTGAGTGTATATGTTTGCATATATGTGTGTATACGTGTATATGTCTGCATGTATGTGAGTAGGACCATGTGTGTATATAGGTGAGGGTGTATATGTGTATATGTTTAGGTATGTGCATACGTGCATATATGTGTATATGTACATATGTATGTGTGTATATGTCCATGTTTCTGTGTGCATGTGTATCTGCACATGTGTGCATGTTTATATATGTATGGGGCATGCATATACATATGTGTATGTATACAGGAGCGTGTGGGTGTGCGCATGTATATATGTACATGTCTATATGTGCATGTGTGCACGTTTATGTGCATGTACATATGCATGTATATGTGTGTGGGTGTCTATGGTGCCTATGTGTTTCTCTGTGTATATGACTGTACACACATGTGCATGTGTGTATATGTATGGGCAAGTATGTGTATATAGATGAGTATAGTGTGCGTGTGTGTATGGCATCGATGCATGTCTATATGCATATATGCCTATGTGCATACATGCATGTACATGTAGGTGAGCATACGTGTGCATGTGTGTATGCTGTATATGTGCATGTCTATATGTACAATGCTTATATACGTGTGTGAGTAGACCTGCTCCTCCAGTACTCGACTGTGCTGTGCATCCTCATGCTTCCTCCAGACCTGGCCTCCGTGTGCACGTGCCACCCCTCCCCTCTGGAGTGACCCCTCTACGCTCCTCCTCCAGCCGCTCCTCCCCTCATGTACTGGATCCTGGTCCCTTCGCCTCCTCCTAAGGGCCACCCTCAGCAGCTCTCCCTCCCTCCCACATAGTGTTTTCTCCCTGTCTACCAGGTTATTCCCATTAGCACAAACACATGCTCTCATAATGTCCACGTAAAGAAAACAAAGCTCTCTCGGGAGCCACACATGGCATCGCCCACCGGCTCTTGAACAGTTTAGAATCACAGGAGAACCCGCCACCCTGCACTGAAACTGCTTTTGTTAAGTCCAGCCACGGCCCTGTGTCCACAAACGCAACAGTCCATCCTTGGTCCTCATCGTGTGAGCCACTCAGCAGCAGAGCCATCAGCTACTGCCCCTACCTCTAGAAGGCTCTCCTGATGCTTTTCCTGACTTCCTGATGCCACGAGCGCCTGGTTTCCCTCCAGCTCCCTGGCAACGTCTCTGGTCTGGTCTGTCAATGCCTCTCCTGTTCCCAGCCTCTGCACACACCACCGAGAGCAGGCCTCGGCTGGCCTCTCCCCTCCAGCTACACGAACCACACAGGGGCTCGTCACCACCCCTTGGCTTCAGCCACTGTCTAATCCAGGATGCCACTGATCGCCTTCTTACACATTCTTATGGGAGCAGAGCCAGGTTTGTCCACGTGTGTGCTGCTGTATGCTCTGTCACCCTTCCTAATTTACAGGAGATGTTGAACAAACATCTCTGCTGGGACCTCATACTCCACACTGCCTGAGCAGAGCTCTCCTGTTCTACACCGCAAGACCTCCATCCCACACCCAGCCTCATGGTCCACCCGGCTTGGGAGACGGCCACGCCATTCCACCCAGGCCAGAAATGCTGGCATTGCCTTTCCCTCCTTTTGCTTACATCCTACAGCTAAGCCCGGGTGAATCACTCTTCTTTCACAACGTAGCCCAGATGCAAACATTTGCCTCTCCCACAACTACTGCCCTAGTCCAAGCACTGCCACCACCTGCCATGGCCTCCTGCTCTGCCGTCCAGCCGGAGGGCCCCACACCAGCACCGCCCTCCACCCATAGGGCCCCTACACTGCTGGGGAGGAGTCTGTTTACTCTGCTCATTAGCCAAGCCAGCAGGTGTCCGCTGCGCGCCTACCGTGGGCCAGGCGCTATTCTAGAGTGCACGCCACTTTCCTGCTGGGTCACAGGGTCACCCTCAGTTTCACATTTTGAGAACCTTGCCAGGCTATTTTCTGAAGCAGCTGTATCACTTTACATTCCCACCAGCAGTGTGCAAGGATTCCAATCTCTCCACATCCTCACCAGCACTTGTTATCACCTCTCTGTTTTACTGCCGCCACCTCAGCGGCATGAGGCAGCACCTCACCGTAGCCTCTACTTGCGTTTCCCTGATAACCGACAATGTCTTTTTCTTGTCTCATCCCACTGTCTAGAACTTCAGTACTTAACGCTGAATAACAGGGGTAAGACTCTATATCCTTGCCTTGCTTCCAGTCTTAAGGGGGAAACATTCAATCTTTTACCAGTAAGTAAAAGGGCAGCTGTGGGCTTCTACGGATGTTTGTTTTTAATCAAATTGAAGCTCTTCTCTATTCCTAGTTTACCGCGAGGTTTTGCTTTTGTTTTACTCTCATGAATGAGTGTTTTGTTGAAAGAGTTTTCTGCATCAGTTGGTAGGATCCTGTAACTTTTCTTTAGTCTGTTGGTATGAAGTATGTAATTAAGTTTTAAACGTTGGGCTAGACGTCTATAACTGCAAAAAATCCCACTAGGGCACAGAGTATAATTCTTTTTCTAAATTGCTAGAACTGACTTGCTAATATTGTTTTTAGGATTTACGCATCTGAGTTTGTGGCAGATATTAATCTGCAGTTTTTATTTGCTTTTTGAACAGTATGTCTGGTTTTGACATTTGGATAATGATGGCCTCATAAAATGAACTGAAATGTGCTCCCCAAACTTCTATCTTCTGGAAGACATTGTGCCAAACTGGTGTTCTTTTGAAACGTCTGGCAATGTTCTCCAGTGCAACCATGTATGCTTGGAGATTTATTTTTCAGACCACTTTAAGTGACAAAGTCAATTTCTTTCATGATTATAGGACTATTCGGATTACCTTCTGAACAGATAATATTCAAAATAGTCAATTGGTTGAATTTTGGTAGCTGGGGGTTTTACAGGAATTGGTCCATTTCTTCTAAGTCGTTGAATTTAAGAGCATAAAGTTGTTTATTATTCTTTAAATGGCTGCAGGATCCGTAGAGATTTTTCCATCTCCCTCTTGATTTCTCTATTTTGTTGGTATTGCTAGGAATTTATCCATTTCATTGATTTT